ATACTAAATAAAATAAAATTGAAATAAATAATATAATTTAATAAAACAAACTCCATTAAAGTTAATTGAATTTGTTATACACCATTTTTATTCATTGCAAAATTGTAGGAGCTTAATTTCTTTAATTAAAACATAAACCAGCGATTTCATAAACATGATAAAAAGGCATAAATGCCCTTATCAATCTTTAAAATAGTTAATTTTTTTTTTCCAATTAAATTAGGGTACTAATTTTTGGTCTATTTTAACTATATATTTTTAATTTTTTACTGAATTAATCTTAATACTAATTATTTTTTAGGTATTATTAATTTAAAAATTAACTGATGATGTATCAAAATCATAATACATAAGCGATAACGTGTTACATGACATTTTGTTCATGTCAAATTAAATAATTTGCTGAAAATACTCTATTAACATTTATACTAGTTCGTTCTTTCTATCCAAACTTATGTACTAATTTTTAATATATTTTAATCCTATATTTTTAAATTTAACTTCTAAACACGTAATCAATAATTTATCAAAATCATAACATGTAATTGATAACACGTTACATGGCGTCTTATCCATGTCAGATGCAAATATTAAAAAATTCATTTAGGACACAATTAGTTTCTTGCCATTTATCTCCTTTATGCCCTAATTTTCATAAGCCCCAACTCCCAAATTTAAAAGTCATCTTCTCATCATGTCCTTTGTCTTTCGTCCCATTATCTTCCTCAAAAGTAAAGAGAGAACAACACGATCTCTTCATAATCTCCTTCTTCCTTACCGATTGTGCTTCTCGAAACAAACAAAGAAGTTCATGAAATCTTTGCTCGAAGAATGAAGTAGGAAAAAGACAAATGGCAAAACGAGTTTTACATGAGTTTTTTGTACCTGTTTATACTGTTTTATCATTTTATCATAAACACATATAAACCATAAATATTGTATTATAGTTTTTTTTCTATTTTTTTTTTCTTTAAGTGAAGATTTCGTAAATTTTTTTATTTGTTTGGAGGATCGTGATTAACAAAGAAGAAGGAAATGATGACAAGATCATGTTGTTTTTACTTTAGTTTTAGGGACGAAGATAAGAAGAAATAAGGAGTTGAGATTTGAGATTTTTTGAAATTAAAATGTAAATGACAAAAAGATGATTCTCAGGCACTTAAATAGATTTTTTAAATTTTTAATCTTACGCGAATGACATATTATTACTTTTTTGTCATGATTTTAATACGTGATAAGTCACGTACTTAGAATTATTACCTTATTATTAGTACTGAAGGTAGATTTGATAAAAATTTAAAAGTATATGGTTAAAATAAACTAAAAATTTGTATAAGAACTTAAATATAAAAAATAAATTAGTACAAAAATTAATATACATTTTGATTAATTTTTAAAATTTTAATTTAATGTGAGTATATATTGTATGTCACGATTATTTACTCTCATGATTTTTGACAAATTCTCAACATGTATCTAAAAGTTAAAGGCTCTTAAACGATAGTTAATTTTAAAAATTAATTCAGTAAAAATTTAAAAATATTGTGTTAAAATAGACAAAAAATTACTACATGAACTTATACAGAAAAAACCTAACTAATGGAAGAATTGGTAAGGTACTTCTGCCCATGAAAAATATGTATAAGGATTTTGAGCTAAAATATTAAAATTTCTCTTATATTATACAAAAATATTCAAAATTTCCCTTATATTATTGTTTTTTAAATTCCACAAAATTCTTTTATCTCTTTTTAAAAATTAATGATCATGCTACCTCAACATGTTATTATGTACATTAAATTTATATACATATATCATAATATATAGTATATATGCTATTAAATATTTTATACACATTTATAATTGTGTTAGCCTTTGTAATTGTGTCCATGTCTGATTTTTCGCCATAGAAATTGTTTTTAGTCCATGAAAATTTTGTTTTTTACAGTGTAAAATTCACATTCACATATGACAGTGAAACGACAGGGAAAGGTCCCGTCCGAGCAGTGAGTATAAGCATGGGTGCCATGCTTATACTGAGCAAAATTAAGATATATCTGCTCTCAGTTTCAGAGATTAAGCGATGAGCAAGAAGAGAGTGTTGGTGGTGGGCGGCACAGGCTACTTGGGACAACATTTGCTGCAAGGATTCTCAGATATCAATGGCAGCCCTTACGACGTCGCATTTACTCACCACTCCTTCCCTCCCCCTCACTCTCTGCTCCATGCCTTTCCTTCCTCTCTCGCCTTTCCCCTTGATTTAAAGACTGGGCATGGATTCGATGGAATTTCTCGCAGATTTGGTCAGGTCTGGTTATTTTTTTCTTCCTTGGATCGATGGACGCAATCTTCGTTTAGCTTACTGAGAAAAGTTATATGAATTTGGTTAGTGATTGGTCTCTCTTTTTTACAAATTTGGCCGTTGCTTTCAAATTTTATTCAGGATCTGAAATTTGGTTGAATAATTCTACCTGAAATGCACACTACTGCCAAATTTTATCCAGGATCTTTGGAATTTGATTGAATAATTCTTCCTAAAATGCACTCTACTGTGTTCTTTTTGAAACAAATTAGTAGGGGATACTTGGGCTTAAATTATTTATCAGATGCTTGGAGGAGAAAAATGGGTTTTTAAATAATGAAATATAACTTACATATTTTGGATGCTGAGAAGGAAATAATTTTTGCAATTGCCAGCCTCATGTGGTCGTAAATTGTGCTGCCTTGTCTGTGCCTCGGGCCTGTGAGGCGGATCCTGGAGCTGCTATGTCTATTAATGTGCCTTCTTCTCTTATTGGCTGGTTGTCGAGCTTTAATGAGAAGACTACCCTTTTGATCCATCTTTCTACCGATCAAGGTAAGTCAAAGGAATCTTGCTACTGGGTTTTGTCTAGTGAACAGATAGTTGATGATGTTCTGATTAATCTCTGCATTATGATAACTTGTCTTGATGGGTTTTGGGTATTTACTTTTATGCCTTTAAGCTATTTGATTCAATCGAATTACTTGGTGGTTTCTGTTAGACCTATAACTGATAAAGTTGAATCATTTCCTATCATTTAAATTTTTTGAGATAAATTGCTAGGTCAATAAATTATTTAACAGTTTCAACAATTTGAGGAGGCTTCAAATGAATATAATAGAAGATGTTTGTTTTACAGGATTGAATAGGGGCATTCACAAACTATGTAATTGCAATAAATTGACTTTTGAGGATTAAATGTTTCAGTTCTATGTAAACTCGCTTAAAGGATTACTATAAACAAGCTTTTGATGTGAAAAATATGAACTTCCAAATGCAAGCAAGTACTTTCTTAAGAAAGGACCTAGTACAGTCATAACTTTTTTTAATGGAAGTACATTCGTATTGCTTACGACAAAGGTAATACAAATTTTTCATAATTCTTTTGTGGTTGTCTATTTAGAGGGAACAATCTATAGTTGGCAAACTTGACAACAAAATAAACATGTAAATTGGATATAATGGAGTGTTGGTAGTTCTTTTGACATGAGAAACTCCATATTAATTTGAAGAATTGCTCTTAGCTCTTCAATCAGCTTGTGATGCCTTGCAACATGTGGAAATGAATAGAATAGTGTTAGGAGTCTGACCTAACTTGTGAAGAAATTAAGGAGGAAGAAGACTTGCAGCAGAATTAGAAAAGAGTTTAGGAGAAGATGAGAACAGACTTAGGGAGAAGAAAGGTTGAAAAGGTAGAAGAGAGAGGAGTAATTATTTTTGAGAGAAAAACTGTAATTTTTGATTAAATTTTTCCCCTCAATCACTTCCCACTCTGCCTTATTTATTTCCTTATGCTGTAATGGTAGGAATAGACGAGACAAATAATCGATCAACCATACCATTCACCTAGTCAACAATACATTCCACCTGGTCAGCCATTTATTTGACCTAGTCAGCCATACATTTCACATGGTCCTGACAGCTAGTTAATGAGTAAGTTCGATAATTGTTAGAGATTAATTACAGGAGGTCATTGGAAGCTTCTACAGAGATATGTAACGGGAGAAAGAAAAGAGGAAAAAATTACATGAAGGAAATAGCCCTCTTGTCCTGTGTTTCTTTCTTTTCAATTCCTAACCATGATTTCTTTCCTCTAAATCTCCTTATTCTCTTCCCTCTCTCCTTTTATATTCTTGTAAATCATTTCAAAACAATTGTTATAATAGTTGAATATTCAATCCTCTTGCTGAGTTCTTCTTTACCAATTGAATATTGCTATTCTGTTCGATCTCCTTCCTGAAATCAGTGGCATACATCATACTACTACAGGCCCCAAAAGGTTGGAAGCAAATTGGTAGAAACAAGCATGCTATATGCAAGGGAAATTACAGAAGATGCACGAAAACAGATTAGAGATGTTCGAAATTGGTAGGAAGATCCAGCAGGAGATGTGTTTGTGCAAAATCCCAATAGCAAGGAAAAAGGTTCTGCTTCTATAGTGCAAATCCACGTCCCATTAGAGGTGGGATTTACTTCGTCATCAGTGATGATCTGTGAGAACATGTATGGTTCATTTCTCCTCTTCAAGAATGCAATAGTCCCGCACGGCGTTGAACTCGTAAGCTCTTCCTCCAGATACCAAGTTGTAGTGGTCGGTGCAAATCCTTATTGCACTAATGTACTATTAATGGTGGGTCCTTATGGTGGTCCACTTCAATATTCACATGACGAGCCAGTAATTCTCATATCTGAGCGTGATGGTGCCAGGATGCTGTATAACACAGGCATGGAGTTTTGCTAATGGAGCTAAACTTGCATATAAGCCTCCAAAATCCACATAAATATGCTGTATATGCAAATCTAATTCCATAATTCACCCTGATACAAAAATCTTGAAATGACATCACATATTTTGACTACAGAACTGGAAGATGCTTTTGCAAGACTCAAGACAGCCATCTGATGTAGGACATGCATGGAGAATCCCACCACTCAGGAATCAGGTTTAAATCTGAATGTCACATCTAGGAATTGGAAATTGGGATTTTACAGGAAGGAAATAACTAGAGAAGAAACTAGGCCTTAAAAATCCAACCTGAGCTGAGTTTGATAGCATTGTACGATCATACTTAACCACTCTGGTGATGTAGTTCTTTGCATATATCTTTCTATTATAATGAAAGAATCTAAAAAGTATTTTAGGATCTGATTTAATCATAATATCATTAGAACTAAGAAATTCTAATAAGAAACTTAAAACATCTTAAACCATTAATAAAATGTTAATGTTACTAAATTATATAATAGACTACCAACTGTTAGAATAAGTTCTAAATTTAAAAGGAACAAGGTCTTTAGAAAACTTGGTTAAATCCTTTCTGCATTATTGTCTCCTAGGAGAATACTCGACTTAGAGTTTTAAAGCTCCAAAAATATCTTCAAAAATCTCAAAGAATTTTTGGCAAACTTTGCAATTAGTCATCCTTATCGGGAGGGAAATAAGGGGGAAAGACAATTGGAAACAACTACCATGTAAGGAGGAAAACAGTAGCAAATTGACAAATAGTGTATCAAGTTTCTCCTTGCATTGGACACTAATAGACTAGAGATTCAGTCTTGTGTTTTACAGACTATAATCTTAGATACTGTACCACTAGTTTCCATAGGAGTACTAAAAACGTAATTCCACCAAAAAAAATTCTTATGCTTTCCAAATTTCTGAAGTGGTAAGACATTGAAATATAAGCAAATTTTCATCAGCATTAGTGACTAAAAATAAAATTGAATATAAACTATGCTCTGAGGAATGCACATTTTAGATATTTTATTCTACTACCAAGCCATTTTCTTTCAATTATGTCTCCCATGTTCTATTGTGGATGATGCAATTTTTCCCTCAGTATATCAAGGCGTGAAGTCCTTCTATAAGGAAGAAGATGAAACCATTCCCGTAAATGTTTATGGAAAATCAAAAGTTGCAGCAGAGCAGTTTATTTATGAAAAGTGGCCAAACTTTGCAATCTTGAGAAGTAGCATCATCTTTGGGCCACAAACTATCTCACCTGTTCCGAAGTCTCTTCCAATTCAGGTGTGCTGTAGAAGATAATTTTCTCTTGAATGCAATTTGCACTTAAATAAACTGTATTATTATTTTTCCTGGATGAATCGTGGTTGTCATGGCAAGAAATTGTGACTGTCATTCCTAGTTCAATTTTAGAGCATTTGCCTGAATAGCGCTGGATAATACTAGAAATGCACAATGAGCTAGTGTACATTAGTCTAGGAGTAGCATGATTTCACTTATCCATTATATGCTTAGATATATAGAGTCTGCACTGGGAATGTACAAAAGAGACTATTTATATCAGTTACTAATGGTTTCAACCTCATTGTTTGCAGTGGATTGATGGTGTCCTCTCCAAAGGAGATAGAGTGGAATTTTTTTATGATGAATACCGCTGCCCGATATATGTAAAGGATGTTGTGGCTATCATACTAGCTCTGGCACGTATATGGTTATCAGGTGTAATATGGTATCCATGTTTAGATATTTGATTAGATGACCAATTTATCCATTCTTCTTTTACATGTTCTCATTAATTGGTCTTTACACTGACTAATTTTGTGGGAAAGTTTAATGCGCTGCTTTGTTTTTCATAACTGACAAAAAATTGACAAAAGTCCTATATATCACTTGTTAATTAAAGCCTGTCTTAAGCGAACCAACAACCCTTTGTATGCTAGTGATTGGATTTTATTTTGTTCACCATAACTGTTGGATTACTCCTGTCCATGTTGTAATTAATACTCAACTATGATATAATCTTACGGTTCCAGGTGGTAAAGATATGCAGTTACTGCTAAATGTTGGTGGACCAGACAGGGTTTCTCGTGTTCAAATGGCAGAGGCTGTGGCAAAAATAAGAGGATACAACACCTCCTTGATAAAGCCTGTATCTGCATCCTCAGTATGTGAAAAATCAGTTTCAATCTCTTTAATCTTCATGTTTAGCTGTGTGGCTTTTCCTATGTTGGATTACTTCATTAATTATGGATTGGTGGTTTCATATTGATGCCCAACTATTTAATTATTAGTTTAAGCTCAGTTCAACTTTTAATTTTATGGAATAAAAGTGAAATATTATATAAATGAGATAAAGATTTAAATGAAAATCATATTTTAATTTCGAAAGATTCAGTTTTTGTGATTTATCCTCTAGGAAGTGTGAATGTGGATTCATGATTGGAAATTTAAGATACGAGTGGAGATGACTAAATTATGAATTAAATATGTAAGTTATGACTATGAATGAATTCTAGGACTAAGTAATTAAGATATAGGAATAAAATAGATTTAAACAAAACATAACCTTGGAACTCTACATTGAGAGGACATTACCTTATACAATGTAAGTAAGAAGCTAGAAAAAATTTTACGTTGCTTTCAAACTGTTCCATGGCTTGTCTGTGAAATCAGAAAGTAATATATTTAGCAGATATTTTTCTTGCAACTGATCAAACTTCTCTTTTTCTATTATTGTATATTTTTATAGTCGTTTTTCTAATCTAAATCACTTGTATCTGCAGTAGAACGTAATCATCGTGTTCTTTTCTTTCAGGTTAATCGTGGTGTCATCTCCCCAAGTGACATATCAATGGACATTACTAAATTGGTTCAAACATTAGATATCACGCCAACCCCATTTGTAGATGGTGTTAAATTGACCCTGGAAATTGAAACTTGGTAATTGATTTTACGAAAATATTGTGTGTTCCTGATACTGTCTTTTACAAAGCTGATTGCAGTTGCAGGGCATTATTATGGGAGAGGAATACCCAGAAATTATACAGAATTTCAGATATTACAATGTTAATTTTAGTACCCTGTATCTTGGAAGACTTAAATTCATTCTGATTCTTCTGGTGGTTCTGGTGTAATCAAAATGTTGCAAGTAAAATGTCAGGAAATCTAATCATTGAGCCTTTATACTTTGTATAAGTTTTCAAGTTTAAATACATTACTCAGTCCTTAAATTTTTTGAAATTGCATAATTTTTTATACTATTTTCTAGTTTAATTAGTAATATAAAATTTAATTTAATGCAAAACAATTATGTTTTAGATGGAAAATATATGACCCTCTATATCATAGGCCAAAAACATAAATAAATTATTGAGTTCTTAAAATAATTTAATTTGATATTTATAATGGATGTTAACAGGAGAGTTGGGGGCCGTAGGGGAGTTGTACTAGTAGAAGCAAGGGTGCAAAGAGACTTAAAATGTAAGGACAGTGGAAGCAGGTTTCAGGTATTAGAAGTTGAAGATGTTTGTCTCACTAATACAGAAGTACATGAAGACTTATTTGACAGCTCATATATTGAGACTCGATATATATATATATATATATATTTATATATGGGAACAAAGAAAATATAGATAAGGGAAAGGCATTGATGGAAGAACATATGACAGGTTAGGCACTTCAGATTCTCATGTAGCTTTAAGAATTTTGTTAATGGATAACCTATAACAACATAATAGAGATAGGTGTCTGAAAAATAAAGGGCGTGTTGCAGCAAAAATGAGAGGTGACTCTTATCTACAGACTCGAACAAAGATGGACAAGGAAAGGCATTGTGAGAAGTTTGCTAAAAATGAGGGATACTGACAATCGTCAATATAACGACCCCCTAATAGACATGTATCTTTGTTTGAAATGTCTAATAGAGATGGTCAAAGCAAAAGGAAATGGATGCTTTACAGGGAGCATTAACTCATTAGAGAAATTTGGAGATGATAAAGGAATGGAAGACCATGTACTTGAGCAATTATTATATCCACTTACTGAACTATAACTTCATAAATGTGGAATTATAGGGGCATTAGGAACCAAGAAACATTATCACATGCTAAAAGTACATAACTTGAATATGTTATTTCTACTAGAAACGTAGGTAAATAATGACTCATTTTTGACATAAAACAAAATTGAGATTATAACCGAGTGTAGAGTAGTATTACAAGGATATGTTGTATGGGTGTTTTAGAGGATACAAAAAAGTATAGTTGAAAGTGATTAGTAATTCAAACCAATTCATACATACACATGTAAGAGATTATAAAAAAATTTAGTTTATAATGATGATGGTCAATTTAAGCCATATCTGAACAACATCGGACATGAGATTGGGAGACTTAAAATGTTTGCTCATTCAACTCTAGGGACATGGGTTCGAATGGGGAACTTTTAACAATCTTGTAGGAGGACATGAATTGATGGGAGTGGTTGACTATTGCACTTGTGTTAGCCTTACCGAGTGGAACAGGTGGATACACAGTTTATAGTGATGTCTCCTACCTAGAGTTGGGTTGTGTTTTGATGTAGTATGGAAAAATCATAACTTATGGGTCCAGACAGTTGAAGAGTCATGAGAAAAACTACCCCACCCATGACTTAGAACTTGTCGCGATTATCCATGCCTTGAAGACTTGGCGCAATTACTTGTATAGAGAGACTTTTTAGATCTATACCGACCATAAGAGTTTGAAATACATATTCACTCAAAAGGATCTTAACATGCGTCAGAGACAATTGATAGAATTCCTCAAGAATTACGATTGCAACATCTTGTATCATCGAGACAAGGACAACGTGGTAGCCAACACACTCAGCATAAAAAATGCAGGTATATTAGCTCGCCTAATGATTTTAGAATACAGGGTAATAAGGGCCGCACAACAGGTACGACTTCAGGACCTGAAGAAAGTTACATGTTTAACCCACCTGACTGTTCAACCTGAGTTAATTCAGAGAATAAAGGAAGTCTAATCCATTAATTCCACTCTAGCATTCTTCAAGAAAGATGCAGAACATGTAATAAATTTAAAATTTCGAGTCTCTGCCGATGAGTTGCTCAGATTTTAGGATAGAGTGTGTGTTCTATATGATAGTGAGCTGAAAAATGACATCATGTCAGAGGCTCATAACTCAAAGTTTGCCATGTATCTTAGAAGTACTACGATGTATCAAAGTATGCGACCCCAATTTTGATGGAACGGGATGAAAAGAGAGGTGACCGACTTTATTTTCAAGTGTTTGGTGTGTCAGCAAGTCAAGACAGAGTATCAACGATCAGGTGGACTTCTTCAACCATTACCAATTCTAGAGTGAAAGTAGAAACACATCACAATAGATTTCGTGACAGGATTTTCTAGGGCACGCTCGAGACATGATGTCATTTGGGTAATTATTGACCAGCTCACTAAGTATTATATTTCTTGACTATTAAGATGACCGACCCCTTAGACAAGCTAGTAAGAATATATATCGGAGAGATAGTCAGGTTACATGAAGTGCTAGTGACAGTAGTATCCAACAGAGACCCCAGGTTCACTTCTCAGTTCTGGTCTATTTTTCAGCAAGCCATGAAACGAAATTGTCTCTTAGTATCGCATTCTACCATCAGACTGATGGACAATCAGAAAGGACGATCCGCACACTGGAGGATATGCTCCGAGCTTATGTTTTTGACTTTGGGGGCCATAGAGATGATCATTTACCGTTAATAGAGTTTGCTTACAATAACAACTATCAAGCAAGTATCGACATAGTTTCATACGAGGCGTTATATGGCCGCCCATGCAGATTACTGATCTGTTGATAAGAGGTGGATGATAGAAAATTATTCGGCCCAGATCTTATGGAGGAGACTACGGCCAAAATAGTTAAGATCAGGAAGAACATCCAAATAGGTCAGAGCAGACAGAAGAATTATGCAGACACTCAAAGGAGGGATTTGGAATTTGAGATATGTGATTGAGTGTTCTTTAAGGTCACTCATTTTAACAAAATTAGTAGGTTTGGCAAGAGGAAAAAACTAAATCCCCAGTTTATTTGGTTATTTGAAATCTTAGACAGAATTGGCACCGCCGCTTACAGACTGACACTACCTCCAGAACTATCCATGGTTCATAATGTGTTTCATGTGTATATGCGACGCAAGTACAACACAGACCCCTCTCACGTCTTGGCCCACGAGCTCCTTTCACTCTAGGAGGATCTGTCATATGAGGAGGTACTGGTGGATAATGTGGACCGAAAAAGTAGAGTACTCCGCAACTAGAAAATTTTCTTCGTTAAGGTCCTATGGACGAATCACATACAGAGAGAGGCCACATGGGAGTTAGAATTAGACTTTAAACCTCAGTATCCCCAACTATTTGATTGAGTGAGAGAGTGATAAATTTGAGGGACTAAATTTCTTTTAAAGGGAAAAAGTTGTAATACCCAGATCCAAAATTTAGTCAGAAATTAATTTTAAAATTAAAAAAATATATATATAAATATAATTTTTAAATTTTTATTTAATATAAAATTAGAAAAAAATAGGTGGATGATGAAATTGAAAATAATTTTAAGAAAAAAATGAGTGAAAATTTAAGTTCGGAGAGTATTTTTTGAAAAAAAATCAAAAACTAGGGGGTAAAAACATAATTAAGAAAAATTGCACTATGTAGGACCGCCTAATCAGTAGCCCCAACGAACCGGAGCATGTTGGGTGGCAAGTCACACTGAATTGGTGCCACGCGGGAGGCCACACTAGCAATCTGCGTGCCAACGATCGAACGGTCCGGATGCATTTCCGCGCGTGTGAACGGTCAAGATCTGTTCCCATCTCAGGTGTGATCGGATGGTCGTGATTAAATGCAATGAATGGTTCATATTCATTCTCTCTTTAAACATGATCATATGGTCGAGATCAAATCATAATGAACGGTTCAGATTCAGTTCTTTTTTAAACATGATCAGACGGTGGAGATCAAACGCAAGGGAACAGTCATGATTTAAGAGAGATGGGTATAAATATCTCACATCATACCGAACCCGAACCCTTACCCCCCAGCCCCCCCACTGGAGAAGAAGAACCAGTTGTCGGAGAAGGAAATCGACCGCCGCTCGTTGCCGCGCTGGAGTCACTTTCGACCGCCAAAAAAGGTAAATATTCTCCTATTTGCTTGAAATTTGATTCCGAACACCTCCATGGCCAAATTGGAGTAAAAAGAACGACGAATGAGCCGAAAATCAGGGGTAAAGACCAGCGGTGTCGCCACGAGTAAAATCTAAAATCACCTCCGATGAGCCCCTTCCTGTTTCCCAATTCGTGCGATTTTTTCACAATTGTGTTCACCATTCTGTTTTCTATAGGTTCACCAAAGAAAAATGTCCAGCCGCGAAGGTGAGCCGGTGGAGTCACCGCACCGAAAAATTTCACCGCCGGTAAGTTTTTATTTTTTGACTTTTTCAACCAACTGAGCCCCCCTAACGTATTTTCTCGTAAGGATAAATATAAAATCAGCTGAAACCAGTCAAGAGTGGCTGAAAATGGCATGACTGAGGCAAACTACTGCTGTAAGCAATGGTGTCATCACTGGAGCATGGCGATGCCACCGTGCTAGAATTCTAAAATTGGTCGTAAAATATTTTTAACACCGATTTTTAATTTTTTGGAGTATTTTTAGGTACGTGAAGCGTGTTTTAATCTCCGCAGAAAAATTCAGAAAACTAGGAGATCGCTAGTAGGTGCAGTAGAAAGTTCAGTATTTGGACACCGATTTGAGTAAGAATCTCTTACCTTATTCCCTGTTATGGAATTAAAATTTAATTATCAATAATATGATATTTTGCGTAATTTAGAAAACTTTGAGAATTAATTACAAGTTACTAATGGAGACAGAACTAGTTATTTATTACTGTTTGTCCTATTTGATTGATTGTTTGATTTTACAGCCTTAAATGTATGATAATATACTGGAATTGGTAAAATGATTTAGTTGTATTTTCTTGATGCATGTGTTGTTTGTTTTGCGTTGATTTACGATTAAATCATAAAACTGAAAATTAAATATAAACGAAAAATTGATTGGTTAAGTGAATGAATGAATGGTAGTCTTACTAGATATCCTGGGAGATGGTAGACGGACTGAGT